ATTATACAACTGTTTTCTTTGTATATGTATAGCGAATTATACAACTGTTTTCTTTGTATATGTATAGCGAATTATACAACTACTTTCTTTGTATATGTATAGCGAATTATACAACTGTTTTCTTTGTATATGTATAGCGAATTATACAACTGTTTTCTTTGTATATGTATAGCGAATTATACAACTGTTTTCTTTGTATATGTATAGCGAATTATACAACTACTTTCTTTGTATATGTATAGCGAATTATACAACTGTTTTCTTTGTATATGTATAGCGAATTATACAACTGTTTTCTTTGTATATGTATAGCGAATTATACAACTACTTTCTTTGTATATGTATAGCGAATTATACAACTGTTTTCTTTGTATATGTATAGCGAATTATACAACTGTTTTCTTTGTATATGTATAGCGAATTATACAACTACTTTCTTTGTATATGTATAGCGAATTATACAACTACTTTCTTTGTATATGTATAGCGAATTATACAACTGTTTTCTTTGTATATGTATAGCGAATTATACAACTGTTTTCTTTGTATATGTATAGCGAATTATACAACTACTTTCTTTGTATATGTATAGCGAAATATACATATTTATGTTTGCTATGGAGCGCAATTATGCAAACTATAGTTATAACATACAAATATGATTTTTATGTTTGTTATATGTGAAAGTTTGGAATCATGACTTTCTTTTAATAAAAAGGCTTGAAGTATAAAATTCATTAGTTTATTGAAAAAGTATATAAAGTATTTAAAATTTTAGGATGAGCTTATTTCATATTTGGTTGGAATAAAATCGCAGGATAAATTATCTTGAAATTAGTTATTCCAAGATTATATTGTTATTTTTATCATACATTGAGATTAATGAAATAATTATATGATAGAATAATTAATCACGAAATAACTTATTCCTGAATCAAACGAGTCCTAGGATAAATCTTTTTCCAAACCAAAAAATAAAGAAGTTTGGTGGGGCAATGCACATGCATGAACCCTAAAAAGAGATGGAAAATATTCCTCCAAACTTGTAAGGCACTGCACAAATAACATGGGGGCACCAAAGCATGTCTTGGAATTTTTGGCAATGCATGCATAGAATTATAAAGTTTGTGAATGATTTTACTACAAGTTAGCCACATGATGATGAATAATTTTGGACCATTGCACGTGACACCTCTAGGCTCTATCCAAATTGAAGATTTTTCACTTTCTTAATAATTGCAAATTACAATTTTAAAATCGAAAATGAAGAGTGTTTACTACCTCAACAACTCTCTATCCTCTCGAAATTTATATTTTAATGGTTAAAAATTAGAAACTTTAGCTAACCATGATAAATTAAGTACTTTGGTTACAATGATTTGAAGTGTACTTAATGGAGAGACAAGAGGCATGTGATTGTTAATCCTCTCATGACTCATGACCCATTTATTAAACCATATAAATTGGTGGTAAAAGTTGACCCTTTTTTTATTTTTTTATTTTATAGATAGACAGATAGATACTCCTGCTTACTTTAAGTGATGATAATGATCAATAAAACTTTAGGTACTAGATTTACACAAATCAAAACTAAAAGTGGAAGTGGACTAAAGAACTTTTCTTTCCTGATAAAAAAATTACTCCATTGGTAAGCATTTTCTACCTTCAATTCTTGAGTCGCAATAAAAGTGGTGGGATAAAAAGAAAAAGTTTTTTTCCTGGAGGAATATTACTCCATTAAATTAACAGTTGGTGTTGAGAATATAATTAACTAAGTGTGTTCTCTCTAGCAGATTAAGTTTTTAGATGAGATGATCACGTACACTTTTACATGGTAGTAGAGCAGATCGATAGAGTTCCTAGTTTCAATCTTTCTTTTATTACATTACTATATTTCAGTCCCCACTAGCTTGTCAAAATTGAGTGATACACTAGTTTATTTTTATTCTAAAACAGAAATCAACTATGGATTTAGCCATGCATGTTTTGATCCTTATATTAAGGTGAAAGGTGTGATTATGTAATGGTGTTTCCCTTCAAATCAAAGATGTTAACATTGAGCAAGATCAACTCTTTCATTTTCCTCTACAAAATGATCTATTTTAGTAAATTAAACTAGATGTTTGTAGAAAATTCGTGTGCTTGGAATCCCTGATAACTAAATAAACCGGTAAAGTGAAAAATTAAGGTATAATTACTTAACTTGACAAATTTATACATTATATTTATCCAAAATATAATAAAAGTTTGAAAAAAGTCTCCAATATAACAAGAGTTTTTGAAATTCATCATATATCAGCAATACAACAATTTCTGAAATTTGTTTCGTAACATTAATGATTTGCTATTTAATTAGTATCAAGACGTACAAAAAAACCTTAGGCATGTAGTCCAAAGGTGGCAAATTCGTATTTTCATGTGCATTGAATTTGACAACTCGAATTTAGATAGAGAATAACCACTCGAATTTTATATTTCCTCTTATAGTATTATACGATTACTTTATTTTTTGGATAATTTTCTAGACAAAGCACAATATTGAAGTCATGACTAAAACGATTACGTTTATGTATTAGAATTATGAAAAATAATTACATCTCAAGGACAAAGTTTTAAATCGCCAAATGGATGTCTTGATACCTTATACTCTTTCCGTTTACTTTTATTTGTCATATTACACTTTTCAAAAGTCAATTTGACTAGTTTTCAAAGTTAAATTAGATTACATAAATTCGATATTTTAAATAAAGAATTTAAATATTCAAAAACTATACGAAAAGTACTATAAACGGTATTTTTTTGTTAATCAATATGATGAAAAAATACATCGTAAAATGTTAGTCAAAGTTCTTATAGTTTGACTCTAAAAAAGGAAACCATGACAATTAAAAGTGGACGGAGAGAGTAATTAGTTTGCTTTAGCCTGCATATTTCATCAGCTTAGATTTTATTAGCTGTACGAAATTCAACAATTAGTTAACTAGGTAAAGTTGTTGATTAACAATTAAATGGAATGACATAGCTGAAGTACCAAAAAAATAAAATATGATATGTCGAAAATTCAAACGTCCTAGTCAAAGATAATTAATCAAGACTAGATTTGGCTCAAGAATATAATAATTAAAATTCGTGATTGCAGTCTCTAATTACCTCAAAATCATTGTTAAGTTTTTTTAAAAATCAAATGCATTGCCAATGATCACATGGCCGCCCTCAAAGAAAATGACTTCAATTAAAAAAAAATACATTAATAATAAATAAATTAAATGCCCTTCACTTTGTCCTTTTTCCCTTTTAAAAAAATCAAAATAAGAGTGGTTAGTGTAATATACAAAAGGGAATTTTATACAAATTTTACGGTATTAAGAACTAATTACATTTTATCCCTATCATTTTCCAAATTACAAAAATGCCTTAAATTTGATTCTCCAAAACGTCTCAATACATCGCGTCTCAGTTTCGGATATATCGCTCAACATTCTGATACATCGCGTTTCCATTTCGGATACATCGCTCAACGTCCCGATACACCTTGTGTAGAGATGTATCCGACAGATTCATCGCATAAAGTGATGTATTATGTCCCGATACATTATGTATAGTGATGTATCCGACCGATACATCACGTAAAGTGATGTATTACGTCTCGATACATCACGTATAGTGATGTATCCAAAAATAGGAGAGAGTATGAATTTTGTAATTTTTTCAAATGATAGAAAATTTTAGAGAATATGATAAAATGAATTGCGTATTTAGGTAATTTTTCCTATTTGATAAAAATACAAGAGAGAGTAGTGTGATAAGCGAAATCTTAGGGAAGATTTCTAAAATTATCTCTTTTTTTAGCGACGGTGATGTCAAGTAGCTCACAAGCCTCAATTACAATTTCATTAGGTATTTGTTATCTTCAATCAAGAAACGTTTCTCATCGAGAATCAAGAAAACGAAAAGCAATCACCTAGTGTTTTCGGTCAACTAAAAGATAGCTTCTACACAGCCTAGTACTGAAAAATGTTTCTCATCGAAAATTAGGAAAACGAAAAGCAATCACCTAATATTTTTGGTCAACTAAAAGATAGCCTCTACACAGCATAGATTTTAGAGAGACTTCTAGTTTCATTAACTCAGGAAAAATCTAGAAGACATGGAAGTCCTGCACTAAATTGCACTACAATTTGTGTAACAAGAAAAAATTACTCAAATCAATAGATAGAAATTTCATATGAAAGATACGTGGGGCGCAATGCAGGACCGGAGCGCCAAATATAGATTCGACTGAATTCAATAGTTTTAGTTCAAATTATTATTTTATTTTAAAAATTTATTAAATATGTACAAATAATTAATATGAAACCATTAATCTAAAAAGATTAGAACCGAGAATCAATAAGGGTCAAGTCTTAGCTCGGCGCCTAGGGTACAATGCACTAGGTACAGTCATGCACTTGATTGAATGTTAAGTTATTTACCTAGAGGACTAGGAAACGATTTTCACTTAATACATTCTTTCCTCCTTCTTCTTATTTTAATGATCCACTCGAATTCTAAAAATCCTAGATTCGGTCACTTCCACCCCTAAGAAACTTTCAAGTGTGAGGCAACTTAGTCAGAACCAAGAAATTTAAAATAACACATGAACAATATCATCAAATTAGTTTTCACTAGAGCAGCCCCTTCAGACAAGGCCCTTTATATTAAATATATACTGGTCAAGATAAAAGGGGAAATCATTTTTAGCCACCAAAAAATTGGTCATTTTCCATTTGTACATCTTTAATTAGCTCTAAAATTATAAAATCCCACTTGTGTGTAGGGTAAGAAGGTCCAATAAGTAACTGTGACCAGAATTCGACTTGGACTTAGGGGGGGGGCATTGTCAGACTTGTAATAATGTAAGAATGGTAGGACCAAAAATAAGGTAAAGAGCAAGATCCCACTTGTTATATAATTCCTAAATTCTTGATTTCTTCTCCTATAAATACCCTTTCGAAGTATCATTTTTTTTCATCAAACATTTTAATATTCATCTCTTCAATCTTTTGAATATTTCACATCACATATCCTATTTGTTTAACACATATATACTTTAATTACCAAGAATTAAGATGGAGAACTTCCCAATTATCAACTTGGAAAATCTCAATGGAGATGAGAGATCCAACACTTTGGAACTGATCAAAGATGCATGTGAGAATTGGGGCTTCTTTGAGGTAATAATTACATTTTGCTTAAACATACAACTCTCCATGTTTTAAAAACACAAACGTCACTTTCTATATTGAGTAACTCTGTAATTCCAACATCCTGCCTGATCTGTTTAATACCACATGATTTAAAGACTACAACTTGACATTATTTACTTAAACTTTATATCCAGTCAAACTAAGACACATAAAATGAAACAGAAAATATTGTAATCTTTGCAAATAGATATTTTTCTTAATATGTTTATGTGATTATTGTAGTTGGTGAACCATGGAATTCCACATGAAGTAATGGACACTGTGGAGAAATTGACAAAGGGACATTACAAGAAGTGCATGGAACAGAGATTTAAGGAACTGGTGGCAAGTAAGGGACTTGAAGCTGTTCAAGCTGAGGTTACTGATTTGGATTGGGAAAGCACTTTCTTCTTGCGCCATCTTCCTGTTTCTAACATCTCTCAAGTACCTGATCTTGACAACGAATACAGGTAATGCAAATACTATACGTACATAGATGAATAGTTTTTTTTTTTAAGTTTATAGTACGTAAATTCATGTCCCAAATGATGCAGAGAGGTCATGAGAGATTTCGCGAAAAGATTGGAGAAGTTGGCTGAGGAGTTACTTGACTTGCTCTGTGAAAATCTTGAACTTGAAAAAGGTTACTTGAAAAATGCCTTTTATGGATCAAAAGGTCCCAATTTTGGTACTAAAGTTAGCAACTATCCACCATGTCCTAAGCCTGATTTGATAAAGGGACTCCGCGCTCATACAGACGCTGGTGGCATCATACTTCTATTCCAAGATGACAAAGTGAGTGGCCTTCAACTCCTCAAAGACGAGCAATGGATCGATGTTCCTCCCATGCGCCACTCTATTGTGGTTAACCTTGGTGACCAACTTGAGGTACAAGATTCACTAAGTGTGTGTGTGCTTTTATCACTATAATTTAGAAGTAGTACTACAAAGGGTATTTATGAAAATGTTATAAAACAGGTGATCACGAATGGGAAATACAAGAGTGTGATGCACAGAGTGATTGCACAAACAGATGGGACTCGGATGTCACTAGCATCATTTTATAATCCAGGAAATGACGCGGTGATCTATCCAGCACCAGCTCTAATTGAGGCAGAGGAAAGCAAGCAAGTTTATCCGAAATTCGTGTTTGATGATTACATGAAGTTATATGCTGGACTCAAGTTTCAGGCCAAAGAGCCAAGATTTGAAGCAATGAAGGCAATGGAAGCTAATGTGGAATTTGTTGATCCAATTGCAAGTGCTTAAAGAAAATGATGGTTATGTTCTTGGAAGTTATACAAACCTGGCTAATTAAACACATTATTTGCTTATTTAATATCACATAATTATACAAAAGATGGTGTGTGTGTGAGAGAGAGAGATTGCTGTGTGGTACTATAAAGGGTTCTAAAGTTTGTAATAAAAAATAATCTGATAAATCAAAGCTACTTTATAGTGAGATTTTTATTATACAAATAATTGGTAGTGTCCTGTTCCTCTTTTCATGAAATTACTTTTGTCTTACCTTTATAAGTTAATTTTTAAGCATTCTTAATTCACTGTTGAGAAATTCACTATGACCAAATTTCAAATATCATTTTTACTTTGAATACAATTTTTTTTTCAAATTTAACAATAAAATATGATCAAACTCCCACTTACATTGCCGTTGGACAAGCTAAGTCTATTATGATAATTTTTATTTGATGAGACCAGGAAAAACAGAGAAATTTAAAATTAGGTAAAAATGAAAAGGAATAATAATCTCTTATAATTAGCTAGAGAAGGAAAAATAGTTGCACATTATTGTGGAAATTGCAATAGACTATGGGTGTGTTCGCTAGGGAGGGAAACATTTTTTTATTTTCTCATAATTCAGTTGGTCAAATTTTCTCTAGAAAAATAAGTTCTTTAAGTGACGAAAATAATTTTTCTAATAAAAATAAAGAAAACAAGTTTCAAAAGTAGTATTCCACGCTCATTCATTGTGTCATCCCCGCTATTAAAATAGGTAATGTAACAGAATCCTTTCAGTTTACTTTTTATGCAAGAAAAGGATAAAACTTTTTTTGTCATCAACGTTTTTTAATGATAAAAAAGTTAAGCCTATAATCTTGACCCAACACTATTTAAGTGTTGTAGAAAATTTATAATTAAACATGGAAGTTGACGTGGGTATCACATAGTGGGAAAAATAAATACTCCTATTGTAGTAAGAAATAAGAATATATATGAACTTCACTAATAAGATGAGTCAACTTCACTACAAAGCAAACTACTCTCCCCGTTTCATTTTATGTGGCACTTTTTGGATTTCGAGATTTAAACAAATCTATCTTTAACGGTAAATTTTTCATAAATCTTTTAAACATTTAGAATTATCAATTATTGAGACTTACAATACTTTTTACGTGTAGTTTACAAATATATGAATATCATTTTAAAAAATTGAAGATTTCATGCGCAAATTCCTAGTCAAACTTAAATAATTTGACTCTCAAAAAACGAAAAGTGTCACATAAATTGAAACAAATAGAGTAATTTCATAGAAGAAGAAAAGATAAGAAGAACAAAGTAAAACAATTATGATTTTCAATGTTTAAATTCTTTAACAATATTTTCATAAAGATCATCTTAAGATGTAAACTTTATGCTATCAACAATGGCCAATAATTCAGCACAGGTATATTCGTTATAAGACAAAATGAATGAGTCGACGACCACTATCAATAATCGTTTTCCTTGTCTTTTTTTGTTTTTTTTTATAAGAGGGGAGTGGGTGAAGGGACAAGGGGGATAACCTTTTTACAATCTGTTACTCCCTCCGTCCCATTTTATGTGAGGTAGTTTGACTCGGCACAGAGTTTAAGAAAGAAGAGAAGACTTTTAAAACTTGTGGTCCAAAATGAATGTATAGAAATTTGTGTGGCTGTAAATCAATTCATTAAGGGTAAAATAGACATTTTATAGTTGAAAAGTTACTTAATATAGAAATGTGTCATTCTTTTTTTGAACTGACTAAAAAGGAAAGTAAGTCACATTAATTGGGACAGATCCAGTACTATATATATTTTTTAAAATAATTTTTCATTCGGTGTTCGACACTCACATTAAAATGCTCCTTTAAAAGGCGCTTCCGTGTACTCAGAAAAACTCGATCCCAAGACTTCTTATTAAGGATGAAGGAATACTTATCACTCTCCCCACAACATTACATGTTTATCTATAGGAAGGAGGGAAAGATAATTTTCAATACTTCATTCATTATTTTTACTAATCCAATTTAAACCCATTTAAAAATAATGATTAATATGAATATTTTATCGCAATATTTATATTAAATATTCCCTCAGTCTCAATTTACGTGGCATTTTTTTGATTTCGAGATTCAAACAAGCCTATCTTTGATCGTAATATTTTCATAGATGTTTTAAACATTTTGAATTATCAATCATTGCGACTTATAGTACTTTTTACGTAGTTATGAATTTCATTTAAAAAAATGAAGATTTCATGTGCAAATTTCTGGTCAAACTTAGACTATTTGACTTTCGAAAAATGAAAAATGCCATATAAATTAAGACAGAATGAGTAATAGTATAATCTAAGAGTTTGAAAAATGATTTGCCATATAAATAATTAAATGTAAGGAGTAATACTGTACCATTTTTAGTACAGCAAAGTAATGACATCTAGATTGTAGAGATTAAGGGTGTGTTTGGTATGAGGGAAAACATTTTTCCGAAAATATTTTTCAATTTTCTCATGTTTGGTTGGATAAAATGTTTTCCGATTTGGATAAAATGTTTTCCGAATCAACTCATTTTTCTCAAATTCAAGGAAAATGACTTCCCTTCAAAACTTAAGGAAAACATTTTCCAAAACGTTCCTCCAACTTCAAATAACAATTTTTTTGTTGAAAAAATCAATTTTGTTGTTGAAAAAAATAAATTTAAAGCTTATTTTTAAAAAACATTTTTCAACTTCAAGTTTTTTATTTTTTTACCCACCCTCACCCCGACACCCCTCCCGCCAGCCCCTACCCCCAAAAAGAAAAAAAAAATTTAATATTTATTTTTAAAAAATATTTGCAATATCAATTTTTATTTTTTCACTCCCACCCCTACGCCGACCCCCCGGCCAACCCCACTACCAGTCCCCACTCCCACCTCCGCCCACCTCCAAAAAAAATTTTAAGTTTGTTTTTAAAAAATATTTCCAATTTCAAAGTTTTATTTTTTCACCCCTACCTGCGACCCCCCTCCCATCAGCCCCCCACCCCCGCAAAATAAATTAAGTTTAATTTTAAAAAATATTTTCAATTTCAATTCAAAAATTATTTTCTACTCTAGTGAAAAAAAGAGGTATTTTGTCAAAAATAATTTTCATTCATAATCAAACATTAAAAAATCTTTTCCGAAAAATATTTTTTACCCACCAACCAAACATGAGAAAATAAGTCAAAAATGCACTTGTTTTCCAGGAAAACATTTTCCTTCATACCAAACACACCCCTAATAAAAAATCTTTTCCGAAAAATATTTTTTACCCACCAACCAAACATGAGAAAATAAGTCAAAAATGCACTTGTTTTCCAGGAAAACATTTTCCTTCATACCAAACATACCCCAAATAGATGATAGTTTCATTTAATTGCTTCGACCTACGATGAAATCGAGTAAAAGGGAACCATCAAAACTAAGTTGGGACTGAATAAACCTCGTACTTAGTTCGAAAAAATCCTTCAAGCTACCCCTCAATAAGATATTTCAATTGATTAATTCAAAATCTAAAGTTTTGCACCATCCTATATATTGTGAATTGATCATTTTATTCTTCAATCATCATCATCCGATGGTAACAACTAGAATTTTTATAAGGCTACTATGAGGACAAGGAAAATCAGCGGATAAAGTTAAAACTTTCATCAAAAAGAACTCTAGCAGTGTTCCTTTATAACTTGCAACATTTGCATAACATCATGGCACCTTAATTTGTCACAAATTTGTAATGAACTAGAGAATGGCAAAAATTGCTAGTAAAATTTAAATAAGCCATGGGATTTAAGTCATTGTGTTGAAATATGCAAAAACTACAAGAGACTCGTTTCTTCTAACCCAACAGAATCATTGAGCACTTGTTGCTAGACCTTCCTAGTTACAACTATAATTAAAGCTTCTAGTACAGATGATAGGCTACAACATACTAATAAGTTACACAAAGATATTTGTCAGAGAACCAGAAACCAGGTCGCATCACCGGTACAACTTGCTTTCTAGTAGCTGCCTTGGTTTAATCATAGTTGGCAGGACGAACCCAGATGGAGCGAACCAGTTCTACTCCTGGTAGTTTTGACAAATAACACTCTTCTCAACATTTGACAAAATGTTTTTTTACCAGGTGATGGAATCTAAAAATGAAATCTAAGCAAGTATCTATACTAAACACATAACAGAAAATTCGAGGAAGCTACGAGCTCTCCAAGAAGGAGATAACTCATAAATCTTCTTCAATTGATCTTGTGATGGAAAAAGAATGACCATTTCCTTACTTCTTCAAAAAGTCACCAACTCTTCCAATTTATTTAACGCCAAACACAGCAAAGAAAAGAAGCAGAATCCCTGTTTACGTGTACTGATTGATTGTTACCTCTTTGAACACGAAAATGGCAGTGACTGTTGTTTGAAGCTGGATGCATCAAAAAGCTCCATAAACCTCTGATCTGATACTCTTGCTTTGGCAGCAGCAAAACGCTGGTACTCGTCAAACACAGAAGTTAGGCACCACTTCTGCAATTTTCTCAAGCATCCAACAAGGCAACCAGTTCGGTGCTGGAATATGGACAAAAAAAGAAGCATAATTTAAGTAAGGTACTCTTACTTTGGAATTGAGGCTACAACATAATAAGTAAATATTACACACCTTCCCACGTTTGCAGTGGATCAACACCGGGTGATTTCTAACATCTGTGAGCAGCAGGTTAAAGATATTAGCACAGGAAGATAGCAGTATTAAACTCACTTTGATTAAAAGTTAGTATTGTCGTTTGAAAGAGCATACCAATTAGAATCCCCAATGCTTCACGAATTTTCTCTTCTGGAATATTTACAAAAGGTTCCTGAGAGCATAATTGTAAAAATCAATCACCAATAATTATTTTTCGTACAAGAACAAAACAAAATACTCTTCTCGGGCACCAACAGATGTGATCAATCCTTTAGCATCAGTAAAGTCCAATGAACCATGCTGAAAATCTTCTACAATATCTCAAATATGCAATGAACCCGGGGGAGAGGACCAAAAAAAGAAAGAACAAGATTTCTTGAGCCCTTTTCTATATTTCCAGCATGAGTTTAGTGACTGTTGTTGAGTTATTTTCTTCTATTTTTTAACCTTTTCTTACTAGCAAATTCAAAAACTACCAATAATTTTTGATTAATCTCAAGATGGACTCATGGACCATGTCGACATTGATTGCCGCGTTAAACAAATCTCAAGCCTGGAATAGAGTGTGACTCAAGCATATCTTCAGGAACCCTTATTGCTATTGATGAGGTAATAAAAACAAGCTAAAAGGAAAGGAATCAGGTTCTTTTTTGAAGTATAATTTTTTACCGCATATGCGGGAATATAGAGAGTAGTCTGTCACCCGATAACTGAGACAGACATTTGAGTTTTGACAGTTAAGCTGGGACAAGAGAAGACTGAAGCCAACAACCTACCACACATAGCAACTGGCTGGTTAATCATATAGCCATAGAGAGACAAAAAGAAATAGGAAAATTTTTGCTAACTTCAGCAGTTAGATGTTAAGATAGAAAGACAACGATCAAGCAACACATCATTTGATCTCTGCTTGAAGATCCAAAAGAAACACTAAAGCTTTACCAATCAGTTAAATGAATGAAATGGAAGTCTATAACTAAGTTTTAACTTTTAAGTGATTGCCAATGTGCCTTGTGTTTCTGCACCTAACCTTTCCATTGCCATGCTCTCTCTCTCTTCACAGAGAAGAGGAGGACTATCCTGTTTAGTTAGTCCTAGAAAAAATAGCTACACGAAAGTTGGATCCAATGAAACCCAGATCACAACTCACAACCAGTTCGGAAGTATTGTTACTTCTAATTATTGAAATTCATGTGCTCTATGCTCAAGCGAAATGCGGGGAATTGGAAGTCCAAACTACAGGATAGGAACAGTGATTTGATATTAATTCTTCCAAGCTACAATTACAACTTAAGCATAATTCAAGTTTAAACATGACTAGACATGACTAGACCTTCTCAACGAGGGGTAAACTTAATGGTACTACAGATGGTTACTATGAGACATGCATAATCAACAGAACAAAAACATATAGATACGAAAAAAACTTAAGCTAAGGTCTTACGAGGCAGACCTAAGAATACAAATAATCCGAGATTTCCAGTTAATACATATCTTCTGCTTTCTATACAGATACAAGGATTACAAAACACACAAGTGTTGAGGTATACGAGTAGGACATAGAATCTTGAAGGTTGATAGTCAGTGCCTTCTAAAGACACACCTAGTGCGCATAACTAAGAGAGGTAATTGTGGTCCCAACTAGGTGGTGATTTAAACAAGGATATGACTGGAAAGACAATGTTTTGAGTTTTAGAAGTAGATTCTCGCAAATCAAAACAACAATCAGAAAAAAAAAGAAAAAAAAGAAAAGAATAAACATAGCAAGACTTGTACTGATTCTTTTCTCTAAAGTAATACTTGTGGTTATCCTTAGATCATTATTTGTATCACTGGAAAGTAGTACTAATAATTTAATTTCTAAACCCTATGTGGACCATGGCCTTTAAGATCAGCAACAGCCAAATTCTAGACCTATCATCTTGAGGCATTCTCCAAAATACATTAAATTATTGTGCAGCTTTTCATCACAATCCGAACCCTTCACGAATTAATTTTCCTTAAACTTCTGAAAACCAAATATTGACAAAGTCAGTTTATTCCATCCTTCCACATGACTTAAGCAGAAGATCATCATACATTGCGGACAGAAAATGAATGAATTAAATCTTGGAGAATCATGTATATTATGTACAGATACAAATAAACAAGCATCATTTTATGTATTCTGCCAAAATCTTATGTTCAAAAAACTGTTCCATAGTCCTCTTTTTCAATGAACTGTAATCCTATAAACGCCAAAGTTAACTGATTTTTCCGAAATCTAATTGGCCGTGCTTTCATTATTTTAGTGTTTTTCTCTCACCTTTAACCTTCATCATCTCATTTCTAACTTGAAAAATTGGCATTCTCCTCTCCGTCAAGTCAATTCACCAATTTACCATATTTAGCTTCAGATATTAAATGTGTTGATTTTACTTTCATCTTTCATCTCAGATCAACGGAAAGAAGCAAATCTATCAACATCAGAGAAAATGACAAACGTACTTTGCTATTTTTAATTCCAAACTGAAACAAGCGAATATCATTTTCCTTGAGAAACTCCATGTTTGCTTCTGGATATGGCTCTGGACACAGGTATCTGTCAACAAAATAAAAAATCCCTAATTCATCAATTCTCGTCGAAAAACTTAAGCTAAATAACTAGTACTATCAGAACAGTAATACTAATTAACTTACATAATAGAACGAAGTCCAAGCGTTTGAAGAAACGAGAAGTTATCTACATCAGGGAAACCAGACCGGAAAATGCCATTATCAACCATAGCGAAGTTAAGAGGAGGAATGAAAAAGTCTTCCTCGTTGTCATCGGCGCAACTGTAATTAACTTCAAAATCATAGGGATTATCGTCGGCGGTTGGTACCGGTGAAAGCTTAATAGCTTGCGGCGGAAGTAGCGGCTGAGAACGGTGATGCTGCCGCTCGACGACGGCGATTTCGATGGTTTTACACGTGTCAGCTGTGGAAGCAACTGTTGCGTGCTGTTTCATAGTGACTGAAGAGAGAGAGAGAAGGGTTTTTGAAAATTGAGTGGAATTGGAGATTCTGATACTATAGGGGAACTTTCTCGATTTGGAACTTGGAATTTATAGGCGCAAAATAATTAGTGACTTTTTAGACGAGGGAAACAGTTTTCTAGGGGCATGGGGTAAATAGTGGGGTGGGGTGGTTAAAATGCGCCATTCCACGGTGGCTGCTCAATGTCGACACTCAGTACACGTCATGCATATGCTTTTTGAAAAAACAAAAATAACAAACTAATCATCTAAATTTAAAAAATCCACTCATTTAACTAATTTTTAAATTTATTTTTCAATGTATTTGGGGAGGAGGAAAACGAATAGGGCATTACTGATTATAGAGTGGGGATTGAATGCTCACCATAAATATAAAAGTATATATTGTCAATCAAATGAATTATTAAAATTTTATAATTAATTAATCTAATCAAATAAAAATATGAGCTTTTTATTGAAAGATTCTTAAAGATGAATTAAAATTTTTAATTCATAATGAAAGGGTCTTTATTTGATTATTAAAAAATTATGTGATTTAGTATAAATACAATATGGTAAATATTTATCATCAATCTAGTCCTCTTATTTTGTCTTGGCACCCATGGGAAATTGTATACACGTGGCATTAAGTAAACTTCTAGTGTTTATGAAGTTAATTTTTGAGGCATTTTTCATTTTTCAAATTAACTTAATTGTTTTGTTTTGAAGACTACTTTTAGAGTGTTCTTTCAATTTTACCCTTCATTAGTTAGTATTGGAATTAGTGATTAATTAATATTTAGTTATTTTAATCATAAATTTGACAATAATAAATAAGGGTAAAAATGGAAAACTAGGTTCAATTTATGTCTTAATCTACTTTTCTTAAAGGGTGTAAAACACCTCAAAAATTAACTTAATATGGAATGAAGTGAGTAATAAATTCTAGTGTTTATTAATAAATTCTCTCTCCGTCCCAATTTATGTGTCACTTTTCGAATTTTGAGATTCAAACCAGTCTATCTTTGACCATAAATTTTTCATATTTCTTTTAAATATTTTGAATTGTCAATTATTGTGATTTATAGTACTCTTTACGTAATTTATAAAATATATAAATTTCATTTCAAAAAATACGAAGATTCAATGTGCAAATTCTCGATCAACTTAAATTGTTTGACTCTCGAAAAATGAAAAGTATCACATAAATTAGGGCAGAGTAGAAAATATTACTCTATTACATAAATATTTTCATATGATTTATTCAAACATTAAAGTGGGGTGGACATAGGGGTAAGTTATTATAGGGTTATGTAGGGAAGATGGTGTGGGGATTGGATATATTAGAACTAGAGTGGGAGAAGATAATTACTGTGAAATATCATTTACATATTTTTCTTCCTTCAATCTTTTCAAAATTTTATATATATATTTAGGATTTTATCATAAAACTTCATAACAAAAAATTATCACGGAGTAAAAGTCAAAAATAGAAAATAAGAGGTAATAAGAAAAGGGATGTATAACAACAAGTAGAGTTGTGGGCCACAATTTATGGTGGAGTGGTAAATACTCATTCATTACTAATCACAAGTTTCAGGTTTGAGTCCCTGAGAATAAAGTCATACTTTATTAGGAAGCGCTAGTACTTTTTGATGCACATTCAAATTTAGTCGAACTCAAATGTGAATATTGAACATCGATCAGAAAAAAGAAAAAAAAAGACGGTTCATTTGAATTTAAGAATATATAAAATTCTAAAAAGAGCATTTCTTTCTTAAATAGATCATATTTAATTTATGTTATACTCGAATCATTCCGTAATGCTATTTATCCTTTGATTTTGTTTTTAAAAATTGTGCAAAAATAGCCTCCACCCTAAAGCTAAAAGTTGGAGTTCAATTCCTAATTGATAGTCAGAAAAACTTGCCTTGCCACAATTTGTGATGAATCGCCAAGAGTTTGATGAATAATCTCAATTTGCTATAATTTGCAACAAATTACCAGAAATTTTGTACAAATTATATTGTAATTATGGAATAAATTATGCAAAATAATGGAAGATCATCAAGAGTTTCTAAATGATGAGTTTGCCACTTATTCTTGCGAATTACTAGGATTTACTTAAAAATGTAACATAACTGTGAAACAAATTATAACCAACTCCTAAGGCATTATCGAAAGTTTTTGAGAAAATTAACCAATACGTTTTTGCTTTAAAATTGATCCAAACAACTCTTAATTTGATATATAACAACATTCTAATACGAATTTAATTAATTCTCAGTGTTATATATATTCAATTTAAACCTTAAAAAGTTAAAGATCATGTCTTCTTCAAAATCAAATTAAACAAAACTCAATAGACAATAAGTTTTTCAATTTTCTGTAGCAGATACAAATTTAATTAATTCAATAAATTTTGAATATTAAATAATTGGAAGAAAAAAAAAATGCATGAAAAAAGTTGGTATTTAGAAAGAGGTAAGGTAAACATAAACGTGGTGATCACGCGTTGGTTAATTGTCAACTATCCCTTCGAGCCCAAGTTTTAACTTAAATAAACATAGGGAAAATAGTTTGAAAGACATGATATATTATCTATGACTATTTAATTTACATAAATTAGCCTAAATAATTGTTACATCATAGACTATTGTGGCAAGTATTAAACTAATATTATTACGTAAATGTTATGAAACACTTTATTCTATGTCTTATATTAATCGTGTGGGACTTTTTATTGTTTCACAAGTTGGTAAATGTATTTGGCTATGAAATTTTGTATTATTTTCTGAACTTCCGAACAGGTTTGATCGTAAAATTTTAAGTTGAATTTCAGATTTCAAAAACTTGAAAAAACATTTAAAAAAATTATTCCCTCCGTCCCATTTTATGTGACAATATTTGACGGGGCACGGAGTCTAAGAAATAAATGAAGACTTTGAAATGTTTACCAAATTGCCCTTTAAAAAGTAAACTCACTTTTCTTTCTCCTCATAAATGTAATGGAGTATTATTTTAAGATTAAGTGGTACCAACAAGGGTAAAAGAAGAATTGTACCTTTAAATACTTACCATATAAGGAAATGTGACTATTTTTTTTGGGACTGAACCAAAAAGGAAATTGTGCCACATAAAATGGGACGGAGGGAGTATTCATTTTTTCACTCTGAATATCTCACAAAAAGTCAAAAAAATAAATTTATTATGTATTTTTGACCAAACACGAGTCCAATTTTCGAATATCATATTTTACTTTGATAACAAAAATTATTTTTTGTCAAATTTCGTAACGAAGAATGACCAAACACACACTTAATTTTCAATTTTAAGTTTTCAAATTTTGAAATCCATTAATCAATTAGACAAAAAAAAAACAGACACAACTAATACTAGTATATTTTTTACGTTAAATGCTATGAAAATGGAAAACTTAATTAGTTATCTTGCACAACTAATATAAATTGTACAAAACTTCATTTTATTTCACAAATTAATGAACTCAACACTTACACTTTTAGTTTTAGATCAATAAATTTTAAATTCACTACTTTGAAAGATGAAGAAAAAAAAAAAAGGTCACATAATTAGTGCCAGTTATATGATACACAAATTTTTTTTTTTTAAAATGTTATTTATATATAATATATGGTCAATATATATAGATTCGCCAATTGATCATACGAATGACATATCTCAATTATTAGTGAATAGAGATGACTTTTCCAATGACAGATTCTTTTCGTAACAATGCTATTACAACTTTTGCTTTTCTTCCTTTCTTTTTCTCCTTTTCTTTTGTTTGATGCCATGAGCTAAAAAAAAAAAAAAAGAAATAGCATGTCATTTTGAATATTGCTAAATATTCCAGCTATGTTGAAATAATGTAGACCAGAAGAACAAAAAAGCTAGTCAAGACAAGTATTGATTCTTGTGTATTGGATGAAAAAATTATGATTTTTTATATAAATTTAGGTGATTTCTTTTTCATGAGTTCAGGTTGAGTTAGTTCAAAATCTGTTTTTTTACTTGGTATTAGAGTCGTCCCATCTCAATTTATAATTATCGATGATATGTCCTCATAGTAAATTGTCTACACGAAGTAATACTAAGTTTTCATATTAAACTGTCAATGCACTAGATATTTGGGAATTATGGATTTGAGCAATCCTCTTATTTTGAGTTAGCTTTTAGGGTTGGGTTAGACCCAAGATTATTATTTTTTACATCATATATTGCTCGATATTTCAGTTCTTAATCTACCTTTATTAACTATAGTCATTTCCTAAAATATTGAATATTACTTTCATCTATCTACTTTTACTTGTCCACTATATAGTATTAAAAATATATGTCTACTTTTACTTGATCAATTTGAAAAATCAAGATAAGGTCTATCACTCAATTCCTAATTTACCCTTATTATTAACAATAATTATTTCTCAAAATTTTTGAATTCGTTTTATTTAAAAGGTAATATGATAAAATTGTTATTTTATTATTATTTCTTAAGAAATATGTCAAGTCAATACCGAATAAATATAATTAAACGAGGATAATTCTTAAGGAATACTATGTCAATTGTTTAAGTTAAACATGGACAAATAAAATGAAAGACGGACAAAGTACTAATTATGATGATTATCATTTCCTTGGCTTTCATGTGCTTTCTTATGCAGGCATCACTAGATGCCCTTGCTTTTCTTCAACGTTCACTTTCTTTAGCAAGTACAAAATAATGCATCAATATGGGTTGTGATGCAGTAGTGAGACTGTTTTACCTTTAATCAGAGGTTTTGTATTTGAGTCTTGGATATAGGAAAAATCTTATTGGGAGCGTCACCCTCGAATGGGCCTTGCAATGCGCAATTTAAATTTAATCGAGGCTCCAATATGGGCTTCGAACACTGAGTGAAAAATCAAAAAAGTACAAAATAATGCAATTTAAATTATCGGTAAAGCGCCAAAATTGTCCATGTATTCTATGTCGAGGGATATTTTTGTCATCGTTAATAGTAAAGTTATTTTTTATTCCTATCTTAATGTTCTATTTTCTAAAGGCGAAATGACCTGGGAGACTCCTGTACTTGACTCCGTTTGTAAGTTGGA